CCCCCCCCCCCCCCTTACCTGCCCTACCAGGCCTGTGCTCAGATCAAGGGTCTGGTTGGGAATTTTAGTGGGGACCCCATGTTCCCCCTCCCCTTATTTTTGGGGGTGGGGTTCCTCAAAATTCCTACCAGACCTTAAGGGCCTGTTATGATTTTAAGGGGGAACCCTGCACACTTTTTTTTTTTTAACATGGGGTCCCTCCTAACATTCCTACCAGACCTAAGGGTCTGGTATTGTTTGGGAGAGGGAACCGCACACTTTTTTTTTTCCTTATAAATGTACTTTTTGGTGCAGCAGGTTCTATACATTGTACAGGTTTGCCACTTTACAGGCAGGGTAAGGGGACCCCCCAGGCACGATATTTAAAGTAATTTTCATTTTTATTGTTTCGCTTTAAGTCATGTTAAAATCACTGCTCCTTTAAAAACGGTATTCTTTCAAAGTGTTTTTCTCATTGATTCCTGTCCCCCAGGACAGTACTTCCCAGGGCAGTACCCGGATCTCCATACATGTCCCCCAGGGCAGTACCCGGATCCCCATACATGTCCCCCAGGGCAGTACCTGGACCCCCATACACCTTTTATGGCCAATAACTTGCATATAAGCCTTCAAAAAGGGGACATTTGATTTTCAAAGTTCTACCTCCATAGACTTGTATTGAGTTCAAACCTTTTTCATGTTCTAAAGTTCTAACTCAAACCAATCACTGGAGTGTTCGGCCCATCACTACTTATGGGGAACCATAGACAGGGGATTTTCCGGGGCACTTACTGTACTGGACCCTAACTGCTGATATTCACACGGAGGCTGCTTTGTGCTGTTTTGGAGACTTCCCCACCAATAAGGGTTAAAAAAACCTCTACATTTTTTTAAAGATGCTTTTTTTACGGTCTCCCGTCACCCTTGGATTCCTGAAAGTGGATCTACGCATTTAATTCTATCCTGAGACAGCTTTGTATCATACAGTACCGGCTCCTAATGTTGGCATACATGGCACAGCTGATACTGCCTGGACACCAATAGGCCTCCTTCAACCTTAAAGCGGAACTTCAGGCAAATATTAAAGATACAAATTAATTCCGTTCTGTATTAATTTTTTTTTTACATGCACGCAGTGTAAGTACCTCATTTTGAGTTTGCTATCAGCCCCCTGCAGTTCCTGTACAGCTCAGAGTTGCAGAAGGAGAAGCTGCACATGGAGCCTGTTAGTTAGTAACTCAGTGCTCATGCGCTAACGAGGGACATACTGATAGCAGGAATGGGCAGAGTGACAGAAAGAAAGAGTGACAGTATTTCTTTCACTGTCCAATCACAGGCCGGAGGTGGGTTCATGACAGCCTTGGCTCAGAGAAAGTGGTTTGAATAATGCTGGCTGTCATTCAACCCAGAAGACTGAGGACATCTAGTGGTGCAAAAGGAGTACTGAGACACTCTATGCGGTCCCAGTTTTCTCTCATTTCAAGTTTTAATAGTGAAGTGGAACATATACTTTCTGGAGACAAAGTCCAACACAAGAGCCATGTGAATGGTAGAGATTAATATAACATTTAGTGGTCATTCTGGGACTACCGGGGACTATGTTTTATTGTACACGCCTACTTTCCAGGCTTGCTATACATATCAACTCAATATGGCTTCCAAGAACAAAATGGAGTCTCCCATTTTTCAGCCATTCTAAACATTGAGTACGAATCTGATAAAAACATTCCAGGGGCATCAAAGCAAAAGGTGTGCCGTGTCTTAGGCCTCATCCACACTGCCGTATAATACGAGCAGCGTTTTTTTCCATATGCAAATAAATGGCTCCGTGCACATCAATGCGTAAAGATGCGCAAACACAAAATGGAACCGAGATGCGTCCGGCATTGGAATTTCTGCGTATTTTAAACGCGTGCGCTCGTATACGCACGTACAGTACATTCAAGTTTCTATTAAAAATGATGCATTCTGGGATTGACAATTCACGCATATACGCGACTATACGTATTTAAAATACGCGTACAATTTTGCTCTTGTGTTGTGTGTGAATGAGGCCCTATTGATTTTCTTTAGAAAGCAGCCACAGCCTGAGTAGAAAAGCCGGTCCCCTGCCAGCAGCAGTAGAGTTGCTCTCTGCGGGGAAGCAGTGGTCTCTTTGCAAAGGTCTAGCTTTGACTCAGCAGGGAGCGTGTCTGTCACGATCTGGGATCAGGCCCAGAGTCCAGCAGTTGAGGTAGCAGGCAATTCGTAGTATAACAGGCCGGGTCTGGCACACAAGCAGCGGGTAGTGGTGGAGGAGGAGGCAGAAGCGTAGTCAGCGAACAAGCCGAGGTCAGGAGCCAAAAGGTATCCAGTATGTAGGAGGAGATGATGAGAGTAGTCGGTGAATCAGCAGCCAAAGGTCGGTACACGGGTAGCAGTATGAGCAGATTGTATCACAGAGGGAGCAGGAAGCAAGATAATGGCAGGAGCACAATAATCTGGCAAACAGGAAGTGTAGAGGTGTGGCTTAAATAGGAAGTTCAAGGGAGGAGCAAGGAGTGCAGAGTTCAGCAGAGATTAGGCATAACTGAGGATACACAGGAGATCAGGCAAGGAGTTATCCAAGGTTCTAAGGTGGCTCAGCAGGTAGAACCACCGCCAGCTCCAGAAGAGGCCCCGGGTTCAGATCTGGATCCTGACAGTGTCAGACATCTACAGAGAGACCACTGCTTCCATACAGAACGCAAGCCCAAGCTTTGCTGGCAGGGGACAGGCTTTTCTACTCTGGGCTGTGGATGCTTTCTAAAGAAAAGGAACTTCCCGACATTGAACGTTGACACCTGGAATGTATTTGGCTGATATGAAGTGAATGTTTAGTTAGACTTTAGTTAGTGACCAGATCTGCCTTCCGCTGGATATACTGTTTTCCTACCAGGGCAGGGAACTCCTAAGAATCCACCCAACACTACGGTGAGTTGGTATGAAGAACAGTGAAATAGACAACGATGCAGAATTGACTCCAGGCATTTTTTACCTTTACCTGGAAATTGATAGCTACAGCCTGATGGGTTGCTAAGGGTTACGACATATTATTTGTAAATTAGGTATTAAGTGGTACAACTAAAGGCACATCGTCTAAGTCGTTACAAGCAATCGATTGGTTTCTACTTTTGTTTTCATGAAATCATCAATTACTAACCAGTTTACAGGAGTAGTGCGAGTCAAAAGCTGACATGGCAGCTCAGAGGTCATGTACATATCCAGAAAGAGGTCGCGTCTCTCCATATTATACAACGGTATATAGGCAGCCATTTTATAAGTATGAAAGAAGAAGCTACTGACATCACTGAGAATGCAGCCTATCGATTCATAGAGACCGGTGACATCACTGAGAATGCAGCCTATCCATTCACTAGAGACCGGTGACATCACTGAGAATGTAGCCTATCCATTCACTAGAGACCAGTGACATCACTGAGAATGCAGCCTATCCATTCATAGAGACCAGTGACATCACTATGCATTGCCTAGAGATTAGTGACATCACCTATAGTATTATTGTGTTCAGTGATGTCACAATTACTTTGTAAACTGAAATTTTAGACACGTTCCAAAATGGCTGCTTCTATTTCTTCATGGTCATGGGTGCCCTTTAAAATCAAACGCATGATCAGGTGCAACGTAATCTATAATACAGCTTCAGGTGTCCAGATAAAATCTGTGGTCCATTGATGTGATAAATATTCAGACTGAAGCATTATTCTTGGTAAGTGTTGGAGCGCAGCTCTGCTGCTTCACCGGACCGAGCGTGTGGTCATCTGCACTGCACTGCTAGGACTTCATTCTATGGGCTAAAGGCAGACTAGCTAACAAAGGAGCAGCAATGAAAGTCCCCACTGTGGTTGCTGATCAGGACGCCAGGCTGGAGGCTCTTGTTAACACCCAGTTCCATTTCCAGGGATGGGGCTTTATCATTGCTTCCCGCTTTTGGCAGGCTCTGAGGACTGGCGCACATCTGTCCACTCCTGCATGGTGTTCTGCAAGGCTTGGGTCTTCTCCTTGTCCACCTGGACATAGTCCACCTTTTCATCTGAGGCTATGGAGGACGTTGATGGCTGGAAGCAATACAGATCATGTCAGGTTTATTTGTTGTATGTGTCATAAAACACCAAAAAACAGTAGTAAAGACGATCATCGCTAGGTGTTTATGGCTCTCTATGCAATGCAGGCAGATCATGGCCTGTGGAAGGGCAGGCAGGGTGATGCAAATAGCTTCCTGAAAGCCTCAGTTCTCCTCTCAAGAGCCCTCAGCACTAATGCAAGCCGTGGTTTGGCTCTTAGGCAAATATCTATGTTGCACCCTGTAGGCAGGAATGCCATTAAATGTAATTATTATCAGATTGTATTCAGTCTGATGCTGATTTGTAGTCTACGCTTTGTCAGTCTGTCATCATTTGCATCTGTCTGCTGTTGGGAGCAGAACAACCAATGAGATATTGCTATGAGTATGTATGTCTCCCTAGCCAATCACTGGGAGGTTAATGAGCAGTGGTGCATGCTGGGGGAGGAGATAAATACTTGGGGTGGACCATGTGAGCTCTCTCTTCCTCCCCCGGGCCCTGCCTGGGGGGAGGCTGCTATGGACTGTCTGAGATGCCTAGGCCTGAAGCCTAGGGACTACCCATGTGCTTACTTTGAGGCCTGAGTCTGGAGGCCTAGTGGATCCTACTGATGACAAGGATGAAGATGACTGGTGACTTCTACGGTACGTACTGCTGTGCCAGGTGTTCTTCAAACAGACTGCCATGTCTGGCTTAAAGGTCCTAGTCTGTGATGGCTGCCGTTACTCTAACCTACCACTTACACCAGGCTGTATGATCCTGACCCTCAACCTCTCTCCCTGAAGCTCATCAATAATGTTGCTCAGCATCATATCTACAGTCTGGACTTTGCTTTTATCAGTTACCATAGAGGGTGGTAAGTGCTAATGGGTAATGTGAATCTGGATACCCCTAGATATGACCATGGTGGATGGTTATTATTCTCTGCGGCCCCTTTGGGAGTGCGCTACACTAGATAGGTGGATTCCTGCTTTTATTTGATCTTAGGAAGGTTGCTGTTCTGAAATTACCTATTGGTTTGTTGGTTGGATGGAGTAGGGGACAGTTTTATAATGATTAATATTAAGCACATACCTTTCTGTGAGGACTCGGCGACACTGGCTGAAAGTCTAGAGCCAGATAGTCTACGCTGCCGGTACTCTTCTTCTGGGCGGGGCTGTTGGTGCCGCTGGTTCCAGGGGATGCCGAGACGGGATTTTGCTGGGAAGATAATAAAGATAGGAATGAGGTTATTAGAATAAAATCATGGTAGTCTCCATTTTTTTTTTTATGTTGAACATCTTTGCCAAAGTTTATGAATTCTCCCAGCCACCTGAATCACTACTACATGACAGCACAGGGTCTGCGGTCTAATTGTAAGGCCCCTTTCACATGGGCAGTATCCATTCTGATCAGCAGGGGACCAAAACAGAGCTATGGGCAGGCGGGACCTAGACAGACTGGGAGGTTATCAAGTCTACATGGGACACACGTCTGTTCACATCCACCTGCTCATAGACTAACATTGAGCTTCTGATTAAATCCTCCTGAAAATCTGATTAGAAGGGCCGTGTCAAAGGGACCTAATAGTCCCAAAAAGCCCAACTAATAGAACTGCAGACATGTGAGGTTCTTAGTACTGTAGACCACCTATCTCTCCCAATACAAGGAGCGCAGGTGAAATGCGTAAAGTATTCCTCTTTTCAAAAAGATTGGAGTTTATTTATTATAATTTGCAGGAAAAAGTAGTTACTTTACAATAAAATTACAGAGTTTCAGTAGCTCAACAGCACAAGCTACTACAATATACATAAAGCAGAACTTCATGTTCATTTCAATAGGGCCACCAATCTCCTCACATACATTTTTGAGACATTCACTCAATACATAGTTTTTTAGTCTTCTGGTTTGTCATGTGACATCACAGGGTTCTCTTCCTCCTGCGTCGAAAGTCATCAATTCCGCATTCGGAAGTACTGTATTGTAAGCCCGAACCCATGAGGTGTCCTGAAGTTACAGTGTGACTTTACAATTGTAGTTGATGTTAACACTCCTCATTGGTTATCTCTTCAGGCTACTAAAATAGGAGATCAAGGGCCTTAATTGTACTTATGAAACTGTGACAATGTTTCTCTGATCATCATTTACCATGTGAAATGATGTGACAGTAGCCACTGGAACTGGATCATTAGTAACCGTCTAGGCAGAGTTTAAGTCAGAGTGATAAGCACCGGGGGTTTTGGTATCAAGGCTTTGCTTCCTCTATGTGGGTTACCCCAGGTGGTGTTAGACTGGGGTACCAAACCATCCTCCCCTTGCTCAGGTCAAAAGTCTATGTCTAAAACTTGCTCCAATTAATGAGGTACAGTCTCAGCTTCTTTCCGGCCTCCCACTAACAATCGCTGAGGCCTCCCCATCTGCTGGGCTTGATGGTCCTCATGGTGTTGGAGCCAGGTGACTTGTGGCATCCCAGAACATCACTTTTAGGGTTGTGGTAGGCACACCAATACCCAGTGGGCTTAAAAAGTAATGCTGGTTTATTGCTAGCAGGCAAGGTCGGGCAGGCAAACTCTTCTGGGGAGTGTCCAGTAGTTCAATCAACCTGAAGCACACTCGGTGGCTCATTCTCTTGCAAAGCTTACAAAGTCTTTTCAATTTACACATCTGCTCTGTGCCTGGATGGACACAGACATTCTCCCACAGCTGCTGCAGGTCAGTCCAGTCATCCCGGATCCTCCAACCATACACAAGGCAAGGTGTTCCCGCAGTTCCATATAGAAGCCCTTGTCAATGACGATATTGCAGATTTGTACAGTTACTCCAGCAGGCAATCAAGCAGAATTTGGACAAACATCTTCTGACACACTTCTGGCAGATGAAGAAGGTGAAGAATCTACAGACATAGGCCATGATGTCTCAATCAGATGCAGAAGGTAGCTCCTCGTGCTCTTTCTACAATGTGAGGGTTTTGTGGATGTGCTTAGGGCAAATGTTCCTCCTCCAAGAGATTTTGGCACCAAAGTCAGGGTGTGGTCTCATGCCAAATCTCCCGCCAAATGGGTCACGAGGCAAAGGTTTGCTAGCATAGTCTTCAACTCTTCATTGCAAAACACCATGTACAACTTCCACAATCCACTCAGCAATATTGAACAGATCCAACACAAATGTTCACAATAATGAAATGCTTCCCCAATCACATTTCTTCACACAAAACACACAAAAAAACTATTTACAGTCCTATTACTCTTTTCTCATTGGTCCAATGTTGAATCTCAGCAGTGCCTCCAAATGTAGCCCTGTTGTTAAACACTTCTAGATGTTTTTCTCTTCAAGCTACTAAAACACAACACACCTGTGTGGTGTAAAGGCCGGCTAAATATGGAAGGAATATTAAATGTGTTCTATATCTGCCTACCTAATTTAAAGGCCTATATTAAAAAATATTGTTAGATAAAATAAAAAACATGGATAATGAACTCATCCAGCTTATTGGAATGACAGCATTGTGCGTAATGGCAACACATACAGGAATGCATAGTGTACAAGTGATAAACTTACCATAGCAACATAATTCTCTTCGCTGTCCCCAGAGCTGGTGCTGGTTATACTCTGCGTGGACACCGGGCGGCAGTATTGAGAAGAGCTGGATTTTAGGGAGTGGCTGTAAAGGAACAGTAAACAGATTACTTCCAAAGACAATGACCCTTATTTACTTTAAAAAAAAAGCAGAGCGCGGTCACTTTGCAGGGGAATTTTCACTTAGCTCAGTGAATGAGGTGGCCCTTCCACTAAAGGGAAACTCCACGCAAAACTCTTTCTTTGTTTCATTTTGTTTTGGCTTGAGTGCAGAAAAGTCTGATCTCCATGCCAACATTCCTGACTCAATTCCTTTGTATGTTCCAGCTCCTTTTGTTACATTATCCATAATATAAACTAAGTAAAAATCCAGCAGGGATGGTGGGACCCCTTCATAATGGGCACAGCAGGTGTACAGACCCGCAAACTCAGCACAGGGATGGTGGAAGCTCCTCATAATGGGCACAACAGGTGTGCAGACCAGGGAACTCAGTGCAGGGATAGTAGGAGCCCCTCATAATTGGCAAAGCAGTTGTATAGACACAGGAACTCAGCAAAGGGAGGTTGGAAACCCTCATAATGGGCACAGCAGGTGTACAGACCTACAACCCAGCACAGGGATGGTGGGAGCTCCTCATAATGGGCACAGCAGGTGTACAGACACAGGAACTCAGCACAGGGATGGTGGGAGCCCCTCATAATGGGCACAGCAGGTGTACAGACACAGGAACTCAGCACAGGAAAGGTGGGAACCCCTCATAATAGGCACAGAAGGTGTAAAGACCTGGGAACTCAGTCAAAGAATATCAACTATTTTGAACCACACAGGGTCCCTTGCTCAAGGCAACAAAGTGACCACCATAGCTCACTATGTTGCCTTGAGGAAGGCACCCTGCGTGACCCCAAAACATTGGTAATCTTTGACTTATGTAGTGCTATCTTCACAATAAGTATGTGATTAGGATATATTTTGGAGCGCTGGTAACTTTACACTTTCTCACCTGAGCAGTTAGGTTGCAAATCCTGCAAGCCATGACGAGTCTGCTTTTAGAGCTGGTCAGCCGGTGGAGTGCTTGTGGTAACTGGAGTAACATAAGAATGAACACACTGTATATGCCCTGGCTACAGATATTTCGGTACTTACGCTTGTCTTGACCAGGATTTGGTGACTGGAGACTTGAATGGGAGTTCATCAATGATCGCCGTAGCTCGAAGGTCCAGGGGTGTGGGTTTTGCTGCAGATGAGAAAAAACATGTTTGAAGAGATCACTAAATGACCAGATCTGAGAATTTGCTTTCTGATTTAAACCTTCAGGTTCACTTTCTGCTACACGGAGCTGGGAGATGGACTGCAAAGAGATGGGCATTGCATGATATATTTTGCACACGGCTGTTGGGTAGGCCAAGTGCTCTGAAGATTTAGCCTGAATGTAGGGTCTCATTGGGAGGGATGGAGGGGGAAGGGGGGGTGTTGTAAGGGAATTGGGATATACAGGTTGTTTTATTCTTTCAGATCCACTTTACTTCCCATATATTCTGTCTTCCCATTACAATGACATGAGCTCCTGTACTTACACTATTCTAGAACCATTTCAGCTCCGACACCTGTATATCCCTTATGGACCAGAGCAATTCTTACATTTCCACCATGGGCCTGTTGATTGGGCAATAGCTTTGGCCTTACAAAGTAATATATATTTAATTTATGTGTACAAACAAGGTTTTTTTGCAAATTATAAATAAATTATATATAATTTGTTACATCAGTTGAAAACAAATATTTTTTTTTGGTTTGACCAATTTTATTTTATAATTTGTCCTGTTGATATTGAAAATTGTATTTATATTGAAAACAAAAAAAAAGGTTAAATCATAATGGCAAAAAATAGAAAAAAAAATATCAGCTAAGGAGGTAATTCAGGCTGATTAGGGTTAATAACGGGTTTAATGGGAACAAAGTTTATTTACAATTTTTTAAACTTGCATGTAGGCTTTAACTGACACCATATACAGATCAAAGGTCATCCCTCTGACCTGTTATGAATGAAATAGAGTAGTTACAATGGAGCAATAATAATATTACTTCATTGTAACTCTTCTTGACACTGCAGATGCTCTTACAGTATGTGAATTTCAGTTTACATCTGCTCTGTGATATAAAACATGTCCCGGTGTTCTATCGAACTGTCCAACTTGTCGAGACCTCCAAATCCCATCAGTGCGCCTGCGCAGCCACCCAAGAGAAGCATCAAGCTGTGCAATCTGCGGCAGTGCGTCTGAGCGGGCACCCGATGCCACAAACACCAACGGGAGTTGGAGAACGCGATGACAATTTCAAAGCCGCACAGGCAGACCTATGGCAAGTGCAGAAGTCAACGAGGATTGCAAAAACTGTGATGGCTGGCGCACGTGCACTAGCGCCATCTCGTTGAAATCTACTTTCTAGATTAAGGGGGGATATGATTTCCATGTACAAAATGTTCAATGGTGGTAGCAATATTAGCGATAAACTGTTTAAAATTAACTCCGTTACAAAAACTAGATGCCATCACCTAAAATTGGTGGAAAAAAAATTCCAGCACAAGGGGCGAAGGGGGTTCTTCACAGTAAGATCAGTTAGGGTCTGGAACTCACTGCCACAGGCGGTGATTTCAGCAAATAATGTGGAATTGTTCAAGAAACTTTTGGACGATTTCTTAAGGGACCGTAATATACAGGGGTACAGGTAATATACAGGGGTACAGGTACTCCTAGAATGAGATCCTAATAGGTTGGACTTGATGGACTAATGTCTTTATTCAACCTCAAATACTATATAACTATGTAACTATGGATGCGACGTCACGAGTTGGAGATCTTGACGAGTTGGCAACCTCGACAGAACACCGGCAAGAGTTGCTCGTAATGTGGAGGAAGGGGTGAACATCATCATTCACCTTCTCTTTTTCGGATTGGCTGATGCTCTGGAAGTCGGCCATCTTGGAAAGAGGGTGGAGTAGACACCCCCAGATTCACTAATCCCTATCTACTGAATAGCCCTGTTTGTGAATTGTATCCACCTAATGAGCCTCACCTTTCCTATCAGGCTTGAGATTCCGGTTTACTGGAGGTGGCTGGATTTCACTGACTCGAGTCGGTCTCTGACACAGAGAGGCGGTACTTCCTTTGCGGGCAGGAAGTGTGGCGGAGGAGAATCCCAGGAAGTCGAAGTGGTGCGGCCCGGGGCTCATGGGGATATAAACGCTCTGGGCATTGTCGTTCAGCTTCTCGGAGTTGAAGTGAGAGGAGGAGCCGGGGTTCATGGGGACATAGTTGTCTTCTGAATCCGCACTTTCCGAGCGGGTCATGGAGGACTTTGTTTGCTGTGGGTAAAAACAGACACCATGATAGACAAATACGGATCTATGGAACCAATAACTACAGTACAAGACTCTCCTCATCAACACAATTACACTAATACAATGCTACAATGTATAATATGTATCCTCAATATGAAAATATTTTGAATGAAACCATTTTTTAAAAACACAACTCTTGATGAAAATGCATTCACGAAAGTCTCCTTATCTTCAGTCAACTAGTAGTAAGGTGAAGCTGCCTCCTTGGCATTTCCTCATCATATACTCCTACAGTATTTGGAGCTGGGGAAAGCACTGGCCAGGTATCTGGTCTACTGCACATGTTTATCATAGTGCATTATGCTGTAGAGGTGTGCTCTGCCCTGGAACAAGCATGCTTCCAAAAGTTGGACAATGGCATCCTACAGCATTGGATGGAAGCATCAGAAGTGAAGGCCAACAGCTGCCCTTGCATGTTCCTTTTAATGCTACCCATTGACATTAGATTATAAAAGGTTTCCTAAAAGATACCTATGTAAATATGTACATTCGGGTCACCCTAGATTTACTGTACAGTCAACCCCTTCAGACCACATCTGGTACTACCAATGATCTAGATATAACAGAGCTCGTCTTAATACAGCTCCTGGGAGCTCTAGTTTTTTCAGCAGCAGAGGGAAGGACGGTTCTTTTGGACATGTGAGATGAATGACTGACGCTCAGTCCAGTACACATAGTGTGTATTGTGTACTAACCAGCACTATGAATTTGTAGACATAGGCTTCCACAGACTGTTGTTCTACAAGGCTGTGAGTTATTTAATGTGCTATGTACTTGCAGGCCTGTAGTATATAAATAGCATTTTCATAGAAGTCATTTCCTCTTGGAGAGGCTTATTTACATGCATTTCCCAAGAAAACTTGCCTGAGGTATTTCAATGTGTACTTTGTAGTTCAATGAAATTACCTCCTGGGTGCTTCACATGCTGATCTGAACCACCAAACCCCTGCTTATGAGCCACAGAGGCTAAAACAGTACACGGGATCTGAGTCAGCAAACGTCATGTGATGCTTTCAAAATGTATGTTATATGGAAGCTAAATTGTAATTTAGGTTTTTCTGGCCCTTTAAATGAATGTGGCCCCAATGTGCTGTTAGACAGGTAGATTAGAAATCTCTTGAGGACTCACCAGGTAGGAGTTGAAACCATCGTTGATGGACTCCACGGACTGGTCCACACTTAAGTCTCCCAGATGAGGATAGTCATAGGCTTCACAAGAGGACGCTGGAGAAACATGCAGATAGGTTGATTTAGTAATAAAGGCAAGACTTCTTGTCACATCACAAGGGTAACAAGTGATACATTTCACATGGACATCATAAGAGGGCAGTGAGTGATAACTGGAACAATGGTGCCACCAGAGGTCACCAACAACTGGCAACTGTAACATGGAAACCACCAGAGGTCAATTTGTGATAAGTGAAACGTGCGAATTTAACGAAGGTCAATAAGTGATAGGTGTGACCTGGACACTACCAGAGGTCAATAAGTGCGTGGATTCACATGGGCTCTATCATAGCTCAATAAGTGATAGATGTGTCATGGACAGCACCAGAGGTTAAGTGATAAGTGTAACATGGACACCACCAGAGATCAATAAGTGAGTGGTTTCACATTGACTCTACCATAGGTTAATAAATGATAGGAGTGACATGGACTACACCAGGGGCAATACGTGATAAGTGTGACATGGACACCACTAGAGGTCAATACATTGACTCTATCATAAGTCATTTAATGACAGGTATGACATGGACAACACAAGAGGTCATTAGGTAATAAGTTTGACATGGACTCCATCCTAGGTCAATACATGATAGGTGTGACATGGACACCACCAGAGGTCAATAAGTGAGTGGTTTCACATGGGCTCTACAATAGCTTAATACGTGATAGGTGTGACATGGATGACACCAGAGGTTATTAAGTGATAAGAGTGACAAGGACAACACCAGAGGTCAATAAGTGAGTGGTTTCACTTTGACTCGATCATAGATCAATTAATGGCAGGTGTGATATGGACAACACCAGAGGTCAGTAAGTGATAATTTTGACATGGACCCAATCATAGGTCAATAAGTGATATGTGTGATATGGACACCACCAGAACAAAATCCAAAAAAACAAACTAAAAAGGGTTTAAGAGGTGTGTGACGCACATGTTAAACCCCATTTAGTTTGCTTTTTGTTATGATTGTCTGAGGGGATGGTGCGCACTTACTGGGCCACTCATGGACACCACCAGAAGTCATTAAGTAATAAGAGTGATATAAACTCCACCACAGATCAATATGTGATAACTGTAACATGGACACCACCAGAGAAAAATAAATGATGTGTCACATGGAAATGTTCACTAACTTCAAGTGGACACCACCAAAGACCTGTAAGTGATAAGAGTTATATGGACACACGCCAGAGGCCAATAAGTAATCTGTGTCACATGTACACCACCAGAGGCCAAGAGGTGAATGGTCACATGGACATCATGATAATCCAATAGGTGATACGTGTCTCAAGGACTCCACAAAAGGACAATGGAGATTGTGCTCCAATGCTCTCTTACCACCGGAGGTGAACAAACATAGTATAGAAATAATCACTGAAAGTCTTAGCAATTCAGAATTTGTATGGACAACTAGGACCTCATCTAAGCCCAATGTCTCGAGTGAGCTTGCACCTTCAATTGTTGTTGATTGTTTTATATGAAGACTGGTATCACAGGATATACTATATATTAAGCAAGCTTTATTTTACCCTACACTGTCACAAGGTCAACAAGTAGAAGCAATGCAGTGCCCATCCTTTTAGGTATCAACATATCAGAACCTATTATTTTAAAAGAAAGTAGAAACTTAAACTAACTGCTCCTTTGCTCATGCAGGACAATGTAAAATCACGGCTGGATGATCGCCTCGGTATGCCCGATGGCAATCCAGGTTGGCTGGGCTGAACACAATCAGGCAGAGGTGCCAGCGGCTTTCTAATCAGACATATTAGGCCCTGTGAGGCCCCAGTGAGGAGCGAGCGGCCGCCGAATTAGTGAGCCGCCTCTGCTGCTTCCCATCCGACAGCACCAGGCCCATGATGCTCTTAACCTGGCCCGATGTAAAGTGGTCACCTAACCCCCCCAGCAGTACATATCTTTCCTTCGTCCCCCTCCTCTTATCATTCTGTTTTGATGCACTTTGCCTTATCCAGCTGCTAAATTCCACCAGTCTTTTTTCCTGCATAAAGAAAACTTGTGCTGCAACAATGGAATGTAAAACAAAGGTGAAAAACAGACCAAAAAAAAAGCAAAAACTGGCAAAGTAGAGCAAAAAAATGAGAAAAACAATTATGCCACCACCGGACAGAAGGAGCACCACCAATGTACAGTATCTCAGGTCCCCAGAAAACATACCAACATTTTTGTGGGAAAGACCATAGGGGGTTTATAAATGGACCAAATCTCTCTGTAAATAGATTTCACTAGAATATTTGTGGCAGTCAGTTTTTATCTGTAAAAAAATAAGTCAAGGCAACTGGACTTGCTGTATTTTTCTTGAAGACGTTTCAAAGGCCATCCAACCAGCTTTCTCAATTCAGAATGACTTGTACAAAAAATTATCTGGTAATAAATATGGTGAATGTTGCTCCAATCCACATAATCTGTTAGTCACAGCCAGGTGTTGATTGCATTTGCATAATTGGAGCTAGGAGGTGTTATTAACCTGCCCAGAGATAGGTGGTAAAACAGCATTGTATGTGGCAGACAATAGATGGCTC